GCAAATGCCAATTCGCATTGGTCCATGGGGCGCGCCTCTCGCAGCCGTTTGTAACTTTAGATACGAGTAAAAAACGCTCCAAAAAACCCTCTCCCGTTATAATGCAATGTCGACGCTGACCCCTTTTGAATGATTTCTAACAGCCTCAGTTCCTGTAACTCCAGATATGCTACGACGACTCGCTTTTCCGCCATCCCTTGTAAAGTGTCGGTCTCAGTTACTTTCCTCGGTTCCGTCCACTTCTAAAAAGGAAAGCAGCGAACTGAACAAAACTGTGGTTGGCGGCGTCGCTCATGTGACTTCACTGAATATTTTGACTCAGGAAAGGTCGGTACTGCGCTTGAAGCTCCCAGGAAAGCAGCGGATTAGAAAAATCAGGCATGTTCTTTTCTAATTTTTTAATGTTTAGATTGATAAAATTGCCAGTGGATGTAGCTGTAAACATTTTTTTCGTTTCAAAATAAGTCTGTACTTTTCATTAGCACCATTTGACAATGATACAATATCATCTGATTTTTCATTTATCGTAAGCAATGATCTACTTCTGTACAGTCGGATAAGAGAGTTCTACGTAATTCTGCGCTGAGGTGTCGAACACTCGCGGAGTACTCTCGCAATATTTTTGGATCGCGGTACGCACAAGCGCAAATAACACGATCATTTAGAGTCAAGTAGATTTCGTCGCGCATGTGCAATTCACCTTGCATGCCTTCCCGAAGACTAAGTCAATTGTTTCACTTCGTCATTCAGGCCATTTTCACACTGTTTTCACGCATTTTCTTCGTTTTCAGTTTAATTTTTACGACATCCATGACCTTAACCTTGTTTAATCTTACCTTATTTCCAATTTTGATGCATATCCATGTTGGGATGCAAACGGTTTGTTTTCTCATGACCTTTCTGCGAATTTTGTTGCTACTCATATACAACGAATTTAATGCAAATGCTTTATTGAATTTGCAATAATCCTAAAGAATAGTGTTGGTATGAAGTGTTTCCAAATGAGCGCGCATGATGTCGTATTGCACATCGAACAGGCAAACTTGCTCGACTATACGACAATACCATTGAAGCAGGCTATACATGAACAGGCGTAGCGTCATCATGGCTTACAGCAAAGCGTTGCATTCAAAGTTATAGAGGAAACTTTACAGGGTAAATGCAGTATCTGTCGCTTGCTTATCAAGTTATCAGCCCACCCTGGGCATCTTAATTCTAGAGACAGAATAATTAAGCGAATGATATGTGAGCAAGTGCTTGTGTCGCACGGTCAAGACTGTAATCTCTTTTCTCCAAGAGCTGCGCTGAGACGCTAACATCGTTCTGTGTAAGTAGGGCAATATAAAACAGGAATTTTTTAAAATCAATAGTTTATTTAAAAGAGAAGTGACTTAGCGTTTATAATCTCGATTTGGATGATCTATTCATAAATTGTCGTTGTTCTCATGTAGCAAGCTGATTGCCATCCGCGAAGCTCTGACATATCCTCTTTGAAACTTTTCGGATTATCTAAGAAAGCTTAATGAGAGAGGATGGAAATGGACATACATGGAAGGGAAAATAAAACTTGAATACGACCGTAAATTTGAAGTCTTCATCATCATTTTCATGAGAGTTCGATATATTATCAAATGTAAAATGTGCGCTGATATCAGAGATCGTAGCGGCGTCGGAGCTTTTTTTCTGAAATATTATCCATATCTGCTATGGCCAACCAGTGCACAATCGGTACTGGGAATCTATATACTGGAACTGGTTCATAGCATATATTAGTCCTTCGTCTACCTAGCATGGAATCTCGAAGTTTCGTACAAAAACTGGATTGCTGGGGAACTTATTTTTGTGGGAACTTGAGATTATATTATTATTTACGCATAACAAAGAATATGTGAATGAGCATAAGCACTTTTTGAAACACGTTACATTTAATTATGTACGCACTGTTATTGATGTAATATAAGTGGATCCAAAGACACTAATGCACGATATTCTCAACACATGATTGAAGGAGAGACACGATAGAAGGGACTCCCAGAAATTGGATTCCCATACAACTCTTTTCGACGATGCATGACTGGTCCCAGTTATACTGAAGTTTCTAACCTTCTTACATTCAGTAATGAGGGTGACGAGCTCAATAATCAGTGGCCTTTGCTTGAATCCTTTACCGAACAAGTGCTTGTAGCACTTCAATACTTTAATTTAGAAGAGAGTTTACTGTACCTGACCTCGCAATATCCGGTCTACGAAGTGCGCTCTTGTCATGTGATAGATCTCCAAAGCAGCTGCAACACGAAGCAGACCAACTAGATGACATACTGTCGCAAAGAAGGTTATTGTTTTCCTTCCTCTCTATATCTTGAACACTAACAAACTTCGGATAGTACTACTTAAGGTTCCCCGCTCCCCCATCGATAGTAAAGCAAGCTCGAAATAAAATCAAGGATATGCTCAAAAAGCAGCAGATTGATGAAGGAATCGAGGATCTGGTCGGCGAAGATAACGTCGGTATTGAAAAGTAAGATTTTGTCCTGCACGAAGTTTTCTCTTCTATTCAGGATGCACGGATAAACTACAAATTACGAAACGAAGTCGACAAAATTTTGAAAAAAGCCCATTTCAATTGGAAGCCTTTGGATATAGAAACGAGGGAGGCTGCTGCAGCTTACGCCTTGTCACGGTAGGTTGTGGGTCATGATGCAATGTTTCAAATCATTTGAGTTTGTTCGTGAAGATTGGCTCCCAACTACGCAGAAATTGCTCGCGTGCTTGATGAGTTCGACGGAGAAGACTTTGCGCCTTCAACTGTTTTGGATTACGGCAGCGGAATAGGTGCAGGTTAGGTCGAGAG